CTAACAATCGTGCCATACCATAATTTGTGCCTGTATTCCTAGAAGTGGAATATTCAATTACGACGGCATCGAAGAAAAGTGACAGCGGTGGGCCAATATAGGGCAATGAATAGTTTCCGGGTGTTTACGTAAGGTGTGAGTGCGCGAGAAGCCAATCGACTAGAATTAAAATATGGTAGAAACGATATTACAGTCGGGGGAGGTTTGGTCAATCGTTGTCATTTTTAGCACGTGCTATTTTTGTCACACGTGCTAAAAATGACAACGATTCTGCTATTTTTGACAACGATGAGGCCGATTTCACTCCTCAGCGAGGAAATGAAGATTTTGGAAAGATAAACACTGATTTTGGAAAAGAAGTGCTGCCACCTGGTGCAAGACGAAGAATCCAGCTTTAATATGCCTGTTATTTGTATGGTAGTTTGTTTTGTGGCCTGAAGTTGGAACTTAAAATTGAAGCATCCGAAAATGATCGATATTGATCGAAAACATGATGTTGATGAAAAAATAATATTTTAAGTTGAGAGAGGAGGCCATTTTATCCAGATGCAGTAGTTTACTTCTTGAAATTATTTTTGCTAATGACGGCTGCTAATTATCCCTCATTACATGGCAGTCGTCGTAAGCAAAAATAATTTCAAGAAGTAAACCACCGCATCTGGATAAAATGGCCTCCTCTCTCAACTTAACATATTATTTTTTTCATCAACATCATGATTTCGATCAATATCGATCATTTTCGGATGCTTCAATTTAAAGTTCCAACTTCGGGCCACAAAAAAGGGTATACTTCAACGTTGGACTACCATACAAACAACGGCCATATTAAAGCTGGTTTCTTCTTCTTGCACCAGGTGGCAGCACTTCTTTTCCAAAATCAGTGCTTGTATTTCCAAAATCGTGATTTCCTCGCTGAGGAGTGAAATCGGCTTCATCGTTGCTAAAAATAGCTGATAGCGTTGTCATTTTTAGCACATGGTTGCCAAAAATGGCATGTGCTAAAAATGACAACCATTGACCAAACCTCCCCCAACTGATTAGGAGTAAAGGTGCTACATACAAATGGCAAGTGCATTGCAGTGCATTGCAGCACGAAGGTATGCATCACTGCATGTTTCAAACCACGGAGCTAAGGCACACTAAGCAGATGGAGGCAAGGCGGATCCAATCTCAAAAGCAGCTGACGGCACATTGGTTCGGCTTACCGCACCAGCCGACCCCACTCAGGGAACTCGGCTGGCGCCATGCGGCCCGAGCCGCAGCTCCCGCCACTAATAACTGTTCACATCTCAGCGGCACTGCACTAACCCTACACCCTACCGGCGATGCACTTCCCCACCGACACTGTACTAAGGTCACGCCCCGCGTCAATAAACTTAGCCTTACATCCAACGGCGCTACTCTCAGCTCACATCCCAGCGACACTTCACCCAGCTCACAACTCACCGGAACTGTCCGAAGCTCACACTCACCAGAAGTGCACTAAGCTCACGCCCTACCGACACTCAGCACTCAGTCCTCGTCCCACCGGCACTCAGCAACTAGGGCACTTCGCACTAAGCCCACACCCCACCAGCACAGAGCACTCAGCTCACACCCCACCAGCACTCAGCACTCAGCTCACATCCACCCGCCCGTCGCCCGCTGCGACACGGCGGCGGCCGGCCACTGGCCGTCACCGGCGGCGACCGAGCAGCGGCGCCCGCCCCGCCCCGCCCCGCGGCCGCCCAGGCGCCGGAAGCGGGCAAATGGCCCGCCGGCCCGCCGCCCGAATCCATGTGCGCACGGAGGTGCGACCGGCGACGCGTGGAGGCGTGCTGACAGAGTGGCGAGCTGCGGGCGAGCTGCGGGCGAGCTGCGGGCGAGCTGCGGGCGAGCTGCGGGCGAGCTGCGGGCGAGCTGCGGGCGAGCTGCGGGCGAGCTGCGGGCGAGCTGCGGGCGAGCTGCGGGCGAGCTGCGGGCGAGCTGCGGGCGAGCTGCGGGCGAGCTGCGGGCGAGCTGCGGGCGAGCTGCGGGCGAGCTGCGGGCGAGCTGCGGGCGAGCTGCGGGCGAGCACCGGTAGACCACAGCGCGGCGGGGCGGTGGCCGAGCCAAGGACGGGCGTCGGACGGAGCTACTGGTGCGAGGTCTGGGGTTCTGCCGGGGGCTAGAGGTGCTCACAGCGGGCTTCTGAGATACATAGCTGGTGAAGAGCGGGCTTCCAGGCAATACCTATACCGAACTGATATGGAAGGATGGCACAAAAATGGAATGGGTCGTATTCGCGTGCGAAACACAAGAGTCAAATTGATGTGCAAATCACGCCGGAAAATCGTCTTTATGGTAAATCGTCCAAAACGTTATTACAAACGTTAAATACGATGTAACCGTGAAACACCCCTTCCAAAAAAAAACTGCTTAAAAAAGAATCACAGGTGCTATCAATGATAATAAGGCATGGCCACCAAGAGAGTTCTTATTTTGTCAAACTTCATTCTAAGAAATTGAAGTAAATACAGAATAGATTATTATCAAACACCATTTTTTACAATGCCTTACGTTTGTTCACTTTACCGAAAAATAAGTTTTTTTTGCAATGGATTTATGATTTTTTATTCTAAAAATAATCAACAAAGAAAATAAAACCTTTTTATTAAAAATGTTATTTTTTGTGTTTTAAATAAGAACTATATTCTAAATAAAATATGCTTGACGCGGAAGTTTATTACGTGTTGACCAATCATATTGCGTAGTTCAAACCCATTGGCTGTAAGCAGCATGCCGATTGGCTGGCGCCAAGCTGAGGCTGAGGTGGCTGCATTCTGAGTGTTTCTTCATTAGGACACCACTTTCCTGTTTAGGACACTCTTTTCGTAACGAGAAATGGAATATCTTTGCTAGGGTGATCGTTGGGCCGTAAAAGCTTCTCATTTGTGCTACTCTCAGCTCAAGCTACAAGACTGCTATTCCAGTTCAAAACCCCATGTTAAAACTTAAGGACATTCAGCATGGAATTTTAGGGAAAATGAAACATTTTTTACATTTTTACGTCAACTACAATAATTTTTGCCTGGTCATGAAGTTTCATACTAACGATATCAGATGCTGACATATGCAAGCGAACATGCGGTCAGTCCCGCGGTAATTTTGTTGCCATTTGGTGTCGGGACATGCGACCGCGTAGACTGGAACGTGAGTGAATTTACCGAACTACTGTTGTAAACTCTGTTTAAGTGGTTGATAATTATTCTGCTGTATTTTTATCAGCCCTGAAAGCCATATTTTACTTGGATACTAGCTGTTTAGCGTTGTTTCAAGGAGCGTCACACATGAGCGTCGTTTTTGCCTGCGGTTTTTTAGGCACGATCGTTTTGGGGGAATTTCTTTTATCTTGGTAGCTATGTGTGACTTATTTATAATTTTCATTATGATTTCGATCATTTCTCGTCCCCACCCAAACAGGCTTTTTGCCATTTACACTCAATAAGATAGGAAAAAGTAGATTTGTATTGGGACTAGGTGTTTTGAGAGTGAAACGTATTATGCGTTCCCATTTTTGGATAGGTACTTACTTGTGCTCGTCAATTATCAGTGTAAAACAAACAGGTGCTTGACATGCCTCCACCCTCGGCGCTGACGGCGGATAAAGGTATGGAATACTTTGTTGAACATCGCTGAGCGTTGTGAAGTACTTAATTCTGCAAAGGGTTCCTGCTATTGGTGCCAATCGGAATTTCTTTTCTTGGAATTCCAATTTTTGTCCAATTCCAATTTGGAATTTGGACGGAATTCTTAACATTTTTTGGAAATTAATCGGAACACAAGGCCTTTAAAATTTATAATTTTAAAACGGAGGCCTTTAAAACGCTTTTAAACACTTTTAAAATTTACGCAAAAAATGCAAAAATCGTTAAAAATTGGAATAGCCCCCGCTTTGGACAAAATTGGAAATTTACTTGGCAATTTCTTGGAATTGGATCGGAATTGGAATTGAAATTTCATGAAATTGGCACCACTAGTTCCTGCCCACTGCGGGATCGACGGGAATGAGAGCACGGAAGACCTGGTGAAACAAGCGGCCGCCCTGCCGGAAAGGTCATCTCATGATTGTTGCGTCAACAAGTATTTGAGGCGTCAGACGTGATGCGTGTTGATGAAAAGAGCCCGTGAAAGGCGTCGGTGAAATCGTTCCCAATTTTGGGTACGCCGTTCCCATAACAAGGAACGCTGGCAGCGCCAGTGTACGAAAGCGTTCCCAAATTTGGGCACGCGGCCCGGGCGGCGGACGGCTTTAGTAATAGAGGGGAAGGATTTGAAACTATGTTGGGCTTTACAATATCAATCTCTTTCTCAGCAATATTGATATAAATATCAGGGGGTTCATGATCATTTTATATTTTTTGGATGTCATTTAATAGTTTTTCTTCTTGTTTGAAATAATGCCTACAGCCTACATGGCGTTTCCATGTTTGGGTTTTTTGTTCCCAAACTTGAATTTGGGAATGAAAATGCATTCCCAAAAATGGGCAAGCTTGACCATAGTTCTGCCTACTGAAATACCACCATATCTGTATGACCAGAATGCAGCAGAGTTGTCACTGATCTGTTTCTTTTATCACTGATCAGTTAGCAATGCCTGGGAAATGCCCAAGAATCAAGACAGTTATCATTGATTCTTTATTAACTGACTTTCAAAGAGTGATTAATGTGGTGATTGAAGAGTGGTTAATGACATGTATGGGGATTTTCATGCATATTATGCATCTGCTCAAGTTTTCAAAGCTTTCAAAAGTTTGAGCATTGAAACAAATTCTGTTAGATTGTCAAAAATCAAAATACATAATTGTCAAAATGCATGTATTCTTATTACTAAATAATTTGATTGCATGTAATATTTTAAATAGCCTTCTACTGCACTTTGATCTTGAGCCTACCAAGAAACTCTACCTACCCAAATTATGAAGCATATCACTATACACCACGCGACCATTGCTGGTCTGTATTGGCAAATATTGGGACATGGCAGCAGTACCTGAAAATACAAATAAGTCGACACTAGACAGACGCTGGTGAAAACAGGGTGCCTGAGGGCATATGGAAACAGCGACTATTAAGAACTTCTCTCCCTCGGCTCTCAATGCCTTCTAGATTCTGGGTGTCACATGGTTTATGCGAGTGAATTTCTAGAGCCTTGATCAAATCGCGCAAGGCGCCCTGTTTTCAGACCGTCGTGACGCGTCGTCTCACTCAACAGCATCAGGGCTGTCTCCCAAGCAAGGTCCTACTCACTGAGAACAACAGATCAACCAATCAGATTAATATTGATATCTATGAATCAATAATAACTTGAGAACAGATCAATCATTCAGATTAATATATTGATATATGAATCAATCATAGCTTAACTACTATTTTGCGATTGGACCTACAGCTTGAACTTGTCTTTATTCCTTTACTTTTTGATCAATTATTGTCAAGAACAAATGAAGCTTAAAAACTGCACTGGTACCTATTCGTCTGAATATTTTAACTAGAATGTTGATGCAGCATGAATGATATGCAGCATCTGTCATTTAGTAATGAAAATGGGGAACCAGCATCGACTTAAAAAAGCAAAAATATAATCCATTGATTGATACTGTGTAGGTACGAGACAGAGGCACCTACATAAAACATACCTTGTCAAACGTCTGAGGGTGCCGAAATTGAGTTAATTCGGTAAAATCCTCCCAATGATCCTTCTCAAATTCGCAAGAAAACTTCCAAAATTCACGCAACCAGCACCAACTCTCCTCAGATTCTCCAATAACTGCTACGGCGCATGTGCGCCGTTTTCTTCCCATTAGAAGTTATTTTGTCATAATTATAAGATTTTCAATCAGTTTTTGCTATACTTATTTTAAATATTCAAAAAAAAATTATGAAAGACACTAAACGTACGTTCTTATTCAAAAAAGGTGATAAATCGTAAAACAAACAGCTTAAAATATTTCTTTTAACTCTCGAAATACATAGGCGTTCACAGGTTCATAAAATTGCAGGTCAATATTTCTTATTGCATGTCGGCAAAGTGAATCACGTGAATGTTCTTCACGAATTTGATTATTTTAATATCACCATGAATCAATTTGTTGGTTTTGAAGTCATAAAAATATCCATAGCTTAATCTAACTTTGAGATTTTTATATACAAACATGGCGCAGCAGATAACTTGTTTCAATAGTGGCGTTGTTATGCGCTGTTTATGTATCGAAACGAGATATGACTTTGGGCCTGTTCCAGCGCCTCCAGAAGAAATTCTTGACTGGAGGCTCTACCAGAGGTTTTACTGGAGGCGCTGGAACGCAATCTGGAGATTTCTGGAGATTGGCGTCATAGATACCAAAAGAATGACGATTGTTCTCTCTTGAAACGCAAAATTTGTTTTCAATTTTAGTTAAAAAGATAAATAAAATTATAGCAATGTAATTTTCTTTACATTCAAGTTGTAAAATAATCAGTCAAATGTCCTTTGTTTACATTCGTGATTGTCACATGTGCACCATAATTGTAGACCAGAGCCTCCAGAGAAATTTGGACCTCTCAACTCTCTGGAGGCTACTGGAGGTTTCTGGAGCTTTGGCGAGAGCTTTCTGGAGCTTTCTGGAGGCGCTGGAACGCTCTCTGGAGGATTCTAGAGCTTTCTGGAGCTTTCTGGAGGTTTCTGGAGGCGCTGGAACAGGCCCAATGTCAACAAGGGGTGCCCGTGTGATTAGATGGAGTAGATGAGACCATTTTTTAATGATTACAAGATACCCTATTGTGCAACGAATTTTTGTTATCTGGAATGCGATGATTTTCCATCGCATAATAAATTGAAACCACCTGTGTTTAAACGTCAGGTGTCTCAGAAAGTGAAGATGGGTCTGGCTTCAAATATGCCATATTTCTTATTTTTACTACTTTTTGTTATGTCCTCAAATATGTTCCAAGCAGATCATGTTGGAACGAAAGGCATATACTGGAGGCTTGACTCACTTGAGAACAAGGTGATCAACATTGACAAACTTACAAATGATGACTCCAATGCCACCAAGAGCCTGCGCCAAGACGAGCCGAAGCAGGACACAGTTTTTGAGGCTCTCTTGAGTACAAGTATCAAAAATGGTATCTGGACCAAGCATGAAGCTGTCAGATACTGTACAAGTGATGTCAATAGCCATGAATGTAATGGGACAACATATGATATAATCAGGCATGCTGCAAGTCAAGGTGCAGTGTAAGTATCAGTAGGTATTGATTAAAGCAGGTTTGAGGTGATAACAGTTGTGTCATGTGTGTCTCTCATGATCAGTGAGATGGACAATATTCTGCCTTCAGCTCAGTCACCATACTGATTACTGACTACTGAGTGGTAGGTTCTTGAAGGTGGCTCGTGAAAACAAGCTCCATAGATTTGTTCAGTGGGGTTGGAGAATTAGGGGTTGTTGGACTTTTTAAACATTGAGAAGGACTTCTATAAAATATAGGACAAATTCCACCAATTTATAATCAAAATAAGCATATGGTGTAGCAATTAAACAGCAATCAAACAGCAAAATACATAAAATGAGCAAATGAGTGTAACAATTGCATTGCATAGTTGCATAGAGAACAGAGTTTAGCAAGGGCACCTTCTACCCACCTAGCTCCTTATGAAGCTAAAGCACAGTAAATTGATCATCTTAGGATGCTAAACAAGCTTGGACCCTGTTGACTGCTTTGTTTCAGGCCTGATGACGAAACTGCAGAGACAGCACCTGAGCCTGACGATGAACAGGAACCACCCCTGGACTGTGGCAAGTCTGTCAACTTCACACACTATGACCACCTGGTGGGGGTATCAAACAGGCAAAGGCACCCAGCGCTGGTGCCCGAGCCGCATGCTGGCCTTGTATTCCGGCGTCGGGGAGACAGAGCCAGCGATACCATCGATCTGGACGTGTTGGAGAAAAAGCTACGGCGCTCCAAACGAGAGGTGAGCTGTGATGAACACATGTTCGTTTATAATGGTACTATACCTACCGTTTATATTGGCTATGATCTTACAGCAGGGTTGGCAGAGGGTGGCAAAAACTGGTTTTTGCCAGTGGTTTTAACCGGTTTAAACCGGCTGGCAGAAACCATGGTGGCAAAAACTGGCAGAAACTGGCAAAAACTCAAGTGGCCAAAACTGCGTTGCTTGCCTAAAAAGCAATCGGTTGAAATGTACAAAGTCATGTCTGTCATTGGGACCCAGTAAGCATTGTCTCGCTAGTTTACCGCTGCTTAAAATGTCTGTCGGTAGTCAATAGATGTCCACCAGGAAGTGCACTTTCATGCATCGCTGTTGGTGTGCTTCTGCACATGAGCATATGCAGGAGTCGTTTCCGACCAGACCTCGAGAATGGCTGGGTCGATTGCGCTCAAATTGGGACACCGTTAGGGACTGATTAGTAGGGTGTCGTGCATAGTCGGTCGGGGTCCATTTTGCACGTGCGCACGTGCGGGGTGACGCTTCCAGATTGGGAGAACGGCTACGTCGACTAAGCACAAATTTGGCACTGACACTGTTAGGAACCGGTTCGTAGGGTCCGGTGCACAAGTCAGTGGCAGATGCCCTTTCCCACTTCTTCAATACTCGCCGCCCGTCGGCGCACTTTCTCATTTCTCTCACCAAAAAGGCGCCTTATTGGTTAATTATAGAGGACTCACGGAACTATTTAACACTAAAATGGTCAAGATACCACTTCTGTTTGAAAGCATATTGTATTGACTGAATCCTACTTAAAACGTGTCCTGTTCAAACGCATGTAGAGGCATAGCGTTTTGACTGTTTTAGTTTTTGCCAGTGTTTGCCACTTTATGCCGGTTAAAACCGGTTTAAACCGGCAAATGGCAAAAACTAGTTTTTGCCGGCAAAAATGCACACCCTGTCTTACAATGATGCAGTCTTTTCCTGCTGGGCTTTAATTTGCTCTCAGAGAAACAAACTTCTCTCTCAAATATGTTGTTGGGCTACTTAGACTACTGTGTGACTGTCACCGAACATTTTGTGATTGAGAGCGATGAATATGCATTTACATTTTGCAATGTGTTGTGTTTGCGAAATTAATGCCTGTGCTTCATTTCGACAGAAACCCAAGTCGTTGCAGCTGTACAACCAGATCGGCAACTTTTGGCGTGTGAAAGGTGACGCGTCCAAAGCCATCGAGTGCTTCCGACGCTCGCTCGCGGTGTCTCCAAATAACGCTGAGGTGAGCGCTGCGGGGACAATGTACTGTCACCTTACACCGGGGCGGGCTAGAAAAGGAACTGAAGGAGGAAGGACGGGGTAGAGGCCGGCGTATGGTGGTGGCGGGGGCGTGGAAACCAGTTATTGGCATTGGCGCCGGTAATGCTCCTGATGGTTTGGTTGGGAGGGTGATGAAGATGAAGGTTAAAGATAAAGTGGTCAAGATATGTATGTGTGATATGGGTGTAGGTATAGAATATACTGCATGTCGTGTATACTGTGCTTGCATTTGTCGTGATTAAACTAAAACGAGAAAGTCAGATGTAAAGTGACAAGAGAATAGTTTCCCAATACCATTGTACCTATTACGCTCGTCGCGTATTGCTGCATCACGTTCTTAGTTGTTATTTGGTTACCGATAGCTCTGTGTACTCAAAGCATCGCCTCAAGTGTGTTCAAGGACAGTGCCAGTTGTTGCGCTGATTCGCGTGTTCTATTCTCGGTGGGGTAGCTACTAGTTTTAAGAATGCATTTTTGTGACTCGAGAATACTCTTCTGTCTACGAGTTTACGAAGGAGTGATAATCGCTAACGGTCGTGCAGATTCGTAACAGGATGTTTTGTAAATCGTGGCGGTTTTATCGGCTTTCCACTTCCGATAAAAATGTCACGTCACTATCAATGGACTGTCTCACCACCTCTGTCTGGCCTGTCCTTTTACAGGTGCTGTTGAACTTGGCCCGGGTCTTGTTCAACCTGCAGTACCTGGATGACGCCATCTTCCTCACGCGCCGATCGCTGGAGGTGCAGCCTCCCGATCAGAACGCGTGGCTGCAGCACTTCACCCTGGGGGAGATACTGAAGGTGAGGGATGGCTGTAGCACTTCACCGTGGGGGAGATACTGAAGGTGAGGGGTGGCTGCAGCACTTCACCCTGGGGGAGATACTGAAGGTGAGGGGTGGCTGCAGCACTTCACCCTGGGGGAGATACTGAAGGTGAGGGGAAGCTGCAGCACTTCACCCTGGGGGAGATACTGAAGGTGAGCATTGCACACTTGGGGAGATAATACGAGGTGATCGTGTGCAGGCGAGAAGGCTGCAGCGTTTGACCCCGGGGAATATTCTGAAGGTAAATATGGCACACGGGAGGAGATATTATGCGAGGTGAGTTTGAGGCGATACTGCATCACTTCACACCGGGTAGGTACGAAAGGCGTGCAGGCGAGAAGGAGCTGCAGTGTTTGACCCCGGAGAGAATCTCGTGTTTGACCCCGGAGAGAATCTCATGGTAAACCGGTGAGGCGAGGCTGCAGCGCCTTACGATGGGGAAAATATGAGGGTAAGCTTATGCAGCAACCATGTTACATGCATGCTAGACGATATATTGAAATTGAATAGCTGATGAGACTAGCCCTGCTGGTGTGACGCTCCAGCCTTCCGTTTTAGCCGTGTACGCTATGTAGCACGTCTGACTGAGTTGGCGCTATAAATGAGCGACTGTTTGTTTCGAGCCTTATTGTTTGAAGGAGATGGCGCTGATTGGCATTATGGTTGGTATACGAGGGAATGAACGCAAACACGCATGCAGAAAGACGAGAAAAACATCCAGGGCTGGCGGAAAGATGTGCAATCTCGTTCTTGTATCGTATTCCGTTGCTGAAGATTGTGCCCGTAAAATTACTCAAATTGCATCCCATGACGAAGTATCTGACGCCCTCACATTACCTATTACTGTCCCAGCTACACTTTTAATGCTCCCGATGATATTGTGATAAATGGTAAATTAGTACCTATCGCACCAGAGGAGCATCGTCCATGTCATCACCGAGTAGGCGTTCACAATCAACACCACAAGCAAACGTGCCTTGTTACGTCTTCTCTCGTGGTCCCCCTGGCTATGCCCAGGCTCGTTTACACGTTGTGCTTGGTGTGAGGACGAAATACGATCCATCGTATGCATGAGCTAACGGCGACTAGTTGATGCAGCCGCACGTGGTGGGGCTGGAATAACATCCCCCAAACCGTTATTCCCATCGAGAAGCTAAGAATCGAAGGAAATGTGAGAACGACACATGATTGCACCATGTATCGAATCGACCACCGTAAAGCCTGAAACAGACTCTTTCCGCTCTTTCCGCAGTCAGGAAATCGCATTCGAGAGCCTATTCAAATACATGGAAGCACGCTCGCATCAATCGCACGCACCTCCCGCAAGCGATTGATGCGAGAAGAATTACAATGTATTTGAATAGGCTCTCGCATGCGATTTCCTGAACGCGGAAAGAGTCTGTTTCAGCCTTAACACCCATCGTTAAACAAGGGAAGCTGTTCATTAGCCTACGCATTTATGAATTAGTGACGTTCTGTGATAAAAATAATGAAGCTTCTTTTCGTGCAGTTTTGAAATATGCACTTCAGCATATTTTCATTCATTTTTCACAATTATACTACTGCGCTACAAAGTAACTGTTTATTACGGGAATTAATGCATTATGCGGTCATGAGGACGAAAAAGTGACGTGACACCAGTGACTTGCACTGACCGTTCAGCAGTTGCGCAATCGTAGGACACGTGTACTGGGTGGCTCTCGGGCCGCCGGCCACCGCGTCGCCCGGCTGGCGACGCCGGCTATTTTTAGTCGCCGTCACCGCCCCGACCGAGAACCGAACGAGTTGACGTAGGGCCGTCTGCCCACTTTTCGTGGGGATTCGCGAGTCAGCAGTGGGCCGGAAAGAGCGAATCTCTCTCTCTCCTCTCTCTCTCTCTCTCTCTCTCTCTCTCTCTCTCTCTCTCTCTCTCTCTCTCTCTCTCTCTCTCTCTCTCTCTCTCTCTCTCTCTCTCTCTCTCTCTCTCTCTCTCTCTTCTCCCCTCTCTCCCCTCGTCTGACTGTCTCTGTCTCCCCTCCCCTCGCTCTCTATCCCCCTTTCGCTCTCCCTAGTTCCTATACATACAGGGTGTCCCATAAGTTCGTTCTCACATTTTATTTGCATGTGAAACAGAGTACATTGCGTTTTGATATATTCATGACCCCTCAATGTGCTCCCCATTTAATAGGCAAACACATGAACACATGCTGCGGCATGCCAACCGGCATGTTTGGCTGCATAGCAGGCTTAAAGGTAGTGTGCCAGCTTTCCTGGACCATATGGAGTTAATGGCCCAGATAAGGAGAACCGGATTTTTAGAACTTATCCATACCTTCAAAACTCATGGAAACGTCTTAAATTCTTCAAATTTTGAGTACCCCAGTGCGAAATTCGCCCCGACGGGTTGTCGGTCGTACCCCAACCACATTTCACACCACTATGAACAATAAATGCACACAGTGAAATCGCTATTACCGATAGGCTCATCCAATCAAGTTTCGATAAACCCGTTCATCATCATCTCCTGCGGTTTTGAACACGCCTGTTAGGTGGTGCTGTAGACCGCGCCCAAAGCCAGGGCCCCGGTAACGTGAGGTAGCCGAGTCGGGGCAGCGTGCGCTGACCCAAGCCGGGGCCGCGCGTCCTCCCGGTGTCATGTGATAGCCCGGGGCTGCCCGCGGGGATGCGGTAGACCGCGCCCAAAGCCGCGGCCCCGGCTTGGGTCAGCGCACGCTGCCCCGACTCGGCTACCTCACGTTACCGGGGCCCTGGCTTTGGGCGCGGCTTCTGCTCATACTTTGTGGTGCGGTGGTGGTGCGTCGGGCCGCGCGCTCTGACTTCGGCCAAGAAAAATGCGTCAGCTGATCATTGTCATTTCTGCCACTTTCATGTGGTGAGATGGGATCATAACTTTAGAGACGGCTGTTTCATATCAATTATTTTACATAAAATAGTATTTCAAACCATAAATTAATGCTTGACAGCCAAATAAAAGAAACAATACCAATACAGGCTTACAGTTTAACCCTCGCATGTGTGCGGCGTTTTCCAGCTTCTAATGTGTAGGGGGGGGTCGGTTGGACCCCCCCCTTGCCGTTTGGCCCCTGATCGAGCTAGAGCTTCGCGGAAAAAACGAGCGTGTTGCCCGTGACTAGAGGAAGCCGATGATACCCAATTTTAAGGTCCTAGGTCATTGGTTGACCTTCCAGGTCAGGTCAATGACCCAAGGTCGGGAAAATCGGGACCTGTTAGAAAGTCGTAAAGTGTGGCTGCTAAGGGGTTTTCCGGGGTGCTGATCACGAATATCGTGTTAGTTTTGATCACAGATGATGTCTTGAAGCATTTAGACCAGGTCGGGTCAGGTCAGGTCAGGTCAACCAGTAGGCGTCGTGACGGGTATTAGTATTACGTGTCAACCGCCTCTGACAGCTTCGTAACATGTTACGAAGTCACCAAAACTACTTCGTAAATGTTCAAATGGTTGCTAAATTCGAATTCAGCTCCAAAAACTAGCCTAGAAACATGTAAAACTCGAAAAAGTGAACCGAGGTCACCAAAGGTCACTGACCTGACCTGACCTTCAGGTGACCTTAACACCCACCCTAATGCATGGGAGCAACATCAAATCACATGTTTGAACGTTTGAAACCACGAAAAGCTTGCAAACGCGCGGCTAATGCGAGCCGACATACGCGGAATCGCGATTCCGGCCAAACATGGTCTCGGAAAAGAGGTCACAGGTCAAAGGTCATTGGGGTCAGGGTCATGAAATTTTCAGGGTAGGTGTAAAATTGATCAATGCGAGGGTACTGAAAGTTTCGTCGCGATCGGCCGCTTTTTACGCGAGTTATTCGCGAAAAACCATGGGGGGGGGTCCATCCGACCCCCCCCCCCCCTACACATGCGAGGGTTAAGGCTCGACATTGTGTTGTCTACGATTAGACAGCTGATAACTCATTCCCGTACGTCGTAACTCTATAATGACCTTTGCTTATTGTCACATGTGCGCCGCATTCGCGATTATTGCCGACGCCTGTTTGCAGGCATGTTTTTTAATCCCACCCAGAAATGACAAACAAGCCCCCTGATTGGCCAGTTGCTGGCCAGTTGGACTTGAGCGGTCGCCATGGTGGTATCGGGGGCTCGGCCGGCCTCGTTAGGTGTTGAATTATGTGTTTCGTTGTGCTAGATGTTGCCAATTTGCTTTGATATTTGATAAATAACGTTGCCTTTTTCTTTGGTGACCCTGCATACTAATACGACGATATTTTGGTGCCGATGCATTAAACATCTTGAGACAGACGTGGCGATTTCCACGCCGTTTTGCAGTGCCTCCCTCCCCTTTTGTAGTGAGTTAACAGGCTTGTAAGAACCAAGTGAACCATTTTTTAGTCAAGTGGTCATGATCGTCCCTACATCTAATGGATGCTAAATAGTCTTGCGCAAACTTATTAGGTACTGGAGGAAGCAGAATAATTACGATTTTGGAGTACGCAAACTTGATATAAAAATATCAGGTATTTTGGCTATATAAAGTGAGAAAAAGTTAATTTACCATTTTTATTACAATTGCAATAATGATAATTTCATGATAATTGTACTGTCAGGTATTGATAATAGTCATGTCACGTCGTGCTACTAACCACACAGACACAACACATTTTCATCTTTATGTATCTAGGGCCTAGGCATAAGGTATTACAGGCATATTTTTTGCACACCTGTCATGTGCGAGTGGGCATGGCCTCCTTCCCAGTTAAATTTTGGCTGGTTGTGCTCAAATTTTGTAAATACCTGTCCTACATGTAAAGGGATACAGACACAGTTAGTCAGGCGCTCTTCTTAGTTCTTAATTCAGTTTTGTGCACCACTTCCTGCGTTCACCATGCTGTGCCCACTCTGCTTTACAGTGGACAGCTGCTTCTGTGACACGCATCAATCCTGCGTTCATTGAAACACTTAGTTTTGAGTGTTTTGACTCAGTTTTGTTGTAACATTACCTTTGTTTATGTTCTCAATAACTTGTTTTGGGCTTCTCA